GCCGCGGCCCGTAGGACCGGCTCCGGGCGCCGCTCTCTGCGGTTCCTCCCCCCGCCGGCACCGGGTTGGAGGAGCCCGAGGCCTTTCCTCGCCCCTCACCGAAGGCCCGGGGGTGGGATGGGGGTATCTCTCGGCGGGGCTCGCCACAGGCCAAGCCTCCCCCCGGTCGCCTAACGCTGGGTGCGGAGCCGCCGTTACCGCGACCGCGGGGATGATTCTGCCCGGGAGGTGAGGAAAACCGTCCTCAAAACCGCACACCCGCCCCAAAACATGCCGGTTTTGGGGGTTTTTTTGGTTTTTTTTTCTCCTCAGCGACCACCTAACGGTACTCTGAGAGACCAGGCCCAGCCGCTGGCTGACCCCAGCAGGGCTCGCCTTGGGGTGCGAGTTCCTCAGCCCCGGGCCCGAGCCGCCAACACGACAGCACGCAGGCAGGCTTTCGTATTTTTTTTATTTAAAATTTACATTAAAGTTAGAAAGGTATCAAGCTAAACAGCGCCGGTTCTTCAACGTTCAGTCGTGTGAATACGTAACTCGGTGCAGTTCTCGTGTGCTTCCATGTGTAAAAAGGAAACAAAACCAGGAATGGGGAGAGAAGATCGGAGCTGGGAAAAGCATGCAGTGAGCAGACCAGGGCAGGACGGACGAGCGAGAAGTGCAAGGGCTGGCTCCAGCACGCTCTAAGGACACTGCACCCTACTCACGGGGAATCTGCGTGGATCACTGTTGTTATTGTTACATCAGCTGTCAGCACCACCTCCCCCTCCTGACACCGCTGACTTTTTTCTAACTTTAAAGAACAAGAGGAGGTTTAGTTGGGAAGAAAAAAAAAGTACCACTCGACCCACATCCACCAGCTGATGGAGCTTGTTTAATAAGGTGGGGGGACACAGGAGGACACCAGTGAAAACACACAGTTCTTCTTACTTTATTTCTTTGTTAAAATTAAATATTTCGTGGCTGCCAACAGAGCAAATTGCACCATGTTTGTATTTCCTTTTGACTCTGAATGCACGGTTTCCAAAACCAACCAAACAACAGCATACTGAAAATATTCCTTAGGCTTCACACCTCATGGAAGCCCATGACATTTATATTATTAAAGACAAAATTAGAAAAAAAATATGCCCATAACAATGTTTGAAAATGTATTCGCTACATTGTTAGTCCAAACATCAAGTCTGTTGCTCTTCAAAATTCCAGGTAAACAATCAGTTCCCCCGTATTACCCTGTCTTGTCACACAAATCACAAGACACTTCAATTTTAGGTACCATGCAAGTCAGTAAAAGAGCTTCTTTCCAAGACACTAACACTGAAGATTTGTTCCCCCCCCCCCCCAGACATAAGACCCTTAAACTCTTCTAGAAGTGGCAGTCTTCTCCCTCAGACCCAGTGCAGCTGGCGAAGACAGATTAAAAAAAGCTACAGAGAGAGAAAAGGGAAAAAAAGAGAAAAAACCAGAAGATTAGCAAAAAAGAGAAAGACATTCAAAAAGCAGGAAAAAGAGATGCAACGTGAAAACAGCTGACAGAGGAGAGATGGAACCTTGTGGTACCTCAAGTACTTCAAGGAAATCACACAAGTAAAAAAAACCTTTTTTCTTTAAAGTCTTTTAAAAGACTCTACATAACTTTAAATGACATTCTAATAAGGCAAATGGTCAGGAAGAACAGCCAGTGACCTGCAGTATAGTTTAAAAAAAAAAAAGCCACATTAAATAGTTCTTTTAGCAGATAATCTGGAAATCACTGACAGACCGATACTGACTGGTTTGAGGAGCAGGCCGACATTCGACAGTAGAGGAAGAGGTAAATACTCAAATTATTTTAACTTGCTTAAAAAATAAAACAAACAACAAACCACAAAACAATCAAAGACTTTTATGGGAAATAAAATTGTATTTATGGTGAAACAGAATACCTGAGAAAATACATTGCAATCAAGAGTTTTAACTGCTTTGATTGCCGGAAATGGAGGACAGACTGTCATTTGATCTGAGTTACTGCATAAGGTTTGCTGCTGCTGTGAGCAGCGAGCCAGACCAACACGTTGTATGCAGAAACTGTTCGTGAGGCTTTAGCATCATGCAGGCTACCTTTCTATTAAATTCTCAGCAGCAGCTTGCACTAAAAACAGCATTACCTATCATGGCTAGGTCTGAGGCATGCTTATCTTCCAAAAACCCAGGATTGGAAGGGTTTTTGTTGAAACTATTTGGCAGCATGCATCCTGACCTTTCAGCAAGGTCAGGACGTGTGGATTCACCCACCTACAGAGAACTTAGCCTGCACACAGTGCGACTGAAGGATCAGGGTCACAACAAGCAAGTCTGAAATGGAAATGAGGATTACAGGCTAGTCTTCAGGCAGCATGAATTAGCAAAAGAAAAAATAAAAGCAAATAAAAAAAGATAGATGATGTCACAAAAATGACACCAAGAATAAAGAGAAAAGAGTTTTTTATCTCTCAACTATGCGATAATTAAACTAAGGCGGTGTTGTCATTTTAACGTCACCAATAAATACATTTAAACTGCGTTGTTATTTTGCCAGCAAAAATAACTCACAGAACTTATTTCCACATCCCTTATTCATCTGGGTGGAGAGGAACCAGGAGAAAGGGGAATCCATTAATTGTAGAGAAAAAAAAAATTGTAGTATTTAAGGTTGCAGCATCCAAAACCTTGTTAGGACTAATTTTACATTGTTTAATAAAAGCAATAACCACCAGTACATAGTAAAGACAGAATCACAGTGAGGATATAGGAGAGAGCAAGGGTAACACCATGGAAAGGTCACAGCTGAAATGCTGTCACGTTTTATTAGACCCTCCGATTTAACAAGTAAATGAAGGTCCATTCCAGCTCATTGTATTCAGGGGTAATTACTCAGTACAGAGCCATGGGTTACTGTAAAAGAAGGGCAAGAGAAAACAAAAAAAACAAAAGTAGTAAATGTTAACCAGAATTCACTGTCTGATGAAGTCTTTATTTAAAAACAAAACTCATCCAGAAATACACAGAGAAGACACCTGCAGGCAAACCACAGTTGCACTTGGCCAGAGTGAACTCCTGGGCCCAGTGAGCAAAACACCCTCCTTTTTAGTGCAAATCTTGCAGTAAAACAAGCCTTTTGCTGAATAGAAAATATGAGAAGCAACCTGCCAGCATCTGTACACTTCTAAACAGATGCCAAATAAAAAAAATAAAGGTAATACTTTTTGCATTAAAATCAGAAATTGTTGGAATCACTGAGAAGAAAGTCAAAGAAACATCATCGTCTTTCTTCACAAACACTGATATGTACAGCAAGGTGACCAGCTTTCCCTGAGATTGGATCCAGGATGTGCATCCAGGCCAGCACACTGAGAGGGAGACAAGGCAAGAGATCCTTCGTGACCCCTGCAGCATTCAGAGAACACTTAGTTGCAAACCGTGGATCCAAGTTTGAGAATCCCCCAAGCCTGGGGACTAGAGGTCTGGACTCAGGCCCATGCCTGTGAGGGTGTCAAGTTTTGCAAAAGTCCTTTAAAATTAGAGTCACACACGGCAGCACAGAAGGGGGTAATGAGGGGTTAGATACAGCCAATTAAAAAGGGGAGAGGGCAGCCGGTCTCTTGAGACAGCACGTCCCACCCCACGGCAGCCTCGGGTTGCATTCACAGCAGTCCCACGACAGGAGCTAAATGCACACCACCAAGCAGCTGCGCTCTCTTACCATGCAGCCCTCGCACAAAACGGAGGGAGAGACAAAAAGCCAAGCAACTGAGAAGAGGGGACGCTAGCCCTACGAGCACTCGGCAGCCTGCTATTGCCCAGAGGGGAAGAGGTATCAGCAATGAGCATCTCTTGCCAGTTCCACGTAGGCTATTGCCGAGTTCTTCACAAGAACAACCATAACCCAGAACAGCCAAGGGTGCGGACTCTTGCTTAAAACAAAATGGTGAGCGCAGGAAGGGAGCAATGAGTAAAGGTGAGCAAACAGGCACAATGGCATAGCCGCGTGTTAACCGAATGTGGGGGCATTGGCTTCTGATGTGAAGGGAAAGGTTCTACAGGAAACCCGAACTGAAAATGAAAGAAAAAGGCAGATTAATGGTTTTATGGATTAATAACAAAAAAACAAAATAAGAATATAAATGTTTCCTAACACACACACACACAAAAGAAATGTTGCTAAGTGTTAATAAGGTTTAATTTGATTACAAAACGTGCTTTATGCAGACACACACATGCATACACACGCACGCACACTCACCAGTGGGATGAATCAAATTTATTTTCTAAAACAATCCTTTCACAGTTTTGCAAGCTACAGGACTCATCAACTGTGACTTGTCTGTGTCCGTGTAAAACAGTGGAGCCCTGCAATACTTTATGGATCAATATGGAGAGTATTTTTTTGAATTCTGGAAAAGTACCATATATACATATTTAATTTAGCAAGGACAAATGCCCATTGAAAAAGGCACTGTCTGCATTTGTATAGTGGGAACAAAGAACTTCATTTGATTCAAAGCTCAGTACACAACAGTGTACAGTTATGAGGACTGCCAAAAGCAATCCAAAACCAACAAAAATCAGTAATGTTCACTCAAACTGCACTTTAGCCGTGCCTTTGTGCTCAGCACCAGAATGAACACTGTTATTCCTTGAGCTTATTTTTCCACATTCAGAGCCTGATAAGCAGAGAATTGTTCTTTTTATTGTTTTACAGTTACCATTGGCAGCAGAGACATTCATTCAACCAGACTGCTCAAGACGACTGCAAGCTCCAGTTTGAGTCAGTGCAAGACCCTTCTGAGGCTCTTCTGTTAAGTGGAACGTCCCATTGAAATTAAATTCAAATGCCTCTCACTGACAGCGTAATGTTTACTTGCTTTTCCATTTCCCTTGGTGGAGCTAAGAGGGAAGGAATCCTGGAATCAGCTTTTCCCTATTTAACGGCAGACTGTTAAGTTAGTTTGGACTGTATCCTGGAGAGAATGTAAATCCTAGCTTTGTCTGCAGGGAAGTGTGGACTCGAGGCTGAGTTTTTTAGGGTGTTTTATAGTTAAGTGGTGCTGTACCAACAGGTCGCTTCTCTGAGAGACCTGCCCACCTCAGCCTGGGGTGCTGTCACCCTTGCCTTGGGTAATAAGTATCGCTGGTCTGTCAAGAAGCAAGACATTCCTGTGGGAGCTTTCTTTTTCCTCTCACCAGAGAATCAACAGCAAATTAAAAAGGCTCAATTAAACACACTCAACCTAGGTATAAGTAGACCATTGTTATGAGCAGTTTAACCAATAACTCTAATGAGGATGCTGCTCTCCTGCCAGGCAGGTGCATTTCTTACACATCTTTGTTTAAATGAGCCTTCATTTTACAACAACTCCTGGCACTTTGCACTGCAGACACTTGCTTATGGCCAGGTTTGTTAACCCTTTCAGGCAACCTTATCTGTTCCAGAAGCCTGCCCGTGACTATGTGGCCACTTTACATCCCTGCTCACATGAAGGCAGAGACACTCTGGACAGAGCCACAGCAACTGGAGCAGACCAGACTCACAGCATAACACCACTGACAGGGCTCTGCTCCAGTGGGAACTCTCCACGCCTTGGCAAAACTCCTCGGAAGCTCGGACACTGGCCTTATTCAGGGGCAAAGCGCACTGGTTGGCTTTCGGGACGCACCTGGAATAACAGCCCTCTTCTACCACTAGCCTTACCCTAACCGTGGGCGCACTTGGCACGGCTCCCAGGCGTGTGGGTTTGTGTCTGTCTGCTACACCTGAACCTCCAATCCATGGGTGACCCATCTAACTGTTAAAAATGTCATAAAGTCTCTCAGTTTATCTTCAGAGCCTTCATTATCTGCTAAATGCTCAGCCCATCACTTCTTGCAGTTTTGGACAATCAACTATAATCAGTCAGCAGGTGAATATTGGTTTGGTTACTCGGCAGTAGTTTCTTTAACGCGCGCACACACACACACACACACACACAGAGTGATTCTCTGGTGCTTTGGGACAAAGGAAAGCTCTAGGTCTGGCAGATTTTACCATCTGTTAGTATGTGAAGAGAGGGATAGAAACTAGTCTTGCATCTACCTTCACCTGCAAGTTAACACTACAACTTGGGGGGGGGTGGGAGGGAAGGAGGAGAAGGGGAAAAGACATTCTCATGGCTAGCTAGTTCTATCATCAGCACATCTCCATAGCAATTGTTGCCATAGTATCAACATGGCCTATGTTAATTTATTTCTAAGGGCGACAGAATAAAGAAAATGGAGCCACCAAAGTGCTGGGAAGGTCTAAAAGGCAGAGAACCTAATCCCTATTTCTCTACATTTCATGTCCTAATACTGAGTCTCTCTGCATTTTACTTTGCAGAATCTTTAGACAAACTTCATTGCATCCTTTTTCTACAACTGCATATGTAGAGAGAGACTGGTAGAGCATGTATAGTAAGGGTGAAAGCAGAGGAAGGCAGAGATAATACTTATAGGCTTCTGGACTTGCACAGGATCTGCTTTTTTAGGAACTGTAACTGATCCCACTGTGAGGTCTGTATTAGTTAATGACGCTTACCAGGACAATGTGCCTCATGCACCATGCAGTCAAACAGCAGCTAACTGTAAAACAGCATACACGTAAGAGCTAGTAATGATGATAATGATGTAACAACAACAACAAAAAAGAAACCAAGTCAATGATTAGTGCAAATTACAGAGCTTGGGTTTAAAAGAGTGACCTGTGAAAGAAAAAGGCTAGTGTACTGTCAGCCACTAGTAAACAAGATACAATTAAGCTACAGCTTGTGAAATTCATGGATTGTTAAGAGATATTTATAATCTAAGTACTGAAATGTATTATTAAGGACAATTGGAGAAGTTACAGAGTAAAAAAACCAGCGCTATTTCTAACACAGCTATTTTCCTGGAGGAGAGAGAAGCCTCCTAATATCTTCCCAAGCCTTACTCAAGCACTGACCTATCTCTTTCATGGAGTTTTCTGTGCCTTTCTGTGTCCTTAACTGACAGAGGTACCAATGCTTTTCCATATGAATGCGCTTGGTGTCAAGGAGCTCTTCTGAGATCAGAACTGCTTCTAGGAACAAGAGTGTGACTTGGGCCACAGTGACTAATTGCTCATACTATAGGCATGTCATCTCCCTTTTCTGCATTCCTGACCCTGACTGATCTCAGGGCTGAAGTCTGCAGTCCTCAGTGTGCAGATGTCTGAGGGCTCTAGGCATAAAAGAACTCAGTTGTGTATTCCTCACACAATCCAGGCTGGGGAGAGATGTCTGTCCCCAGTCAGTCTCAGGTTCCTCAGTATAAAAAGATATTAAAAGCCCCTGAAGGTAATTCAAAAGAGCAAATCAAAATATGCAGTGGAAAAAGGAACGGACAAGCAAGAAAAGGGCAGCACTAATTGCTCATGGCAAAAGAATGTTGACATTGAAGCAGCTCCAGCTCAAAACTAAAAAGACTAAACCAGGATCTCATTCTGGTTATTGGGTTTTTCCTCTCTTGTCTCACTTGATTCCAAGCTTAACAGTCAAGGGCTATTCTCCCTGACAAACAGTCCTGTCAGCTCTTCGGGCATGTGCCATATTGTTCGTATTAACAGCACTTCTCCATGTATTTAAGATTGCATAGTGCAGGCAAGATTTACTCTGGATTTGCCCCAGGGATGTGCAAAGAGGGGATTATGGCAGTGGTATAGAAACCAGACCCTTGTTTATCTGTGCACCGCTCTTTGTACACATGCTAAGGTGGCACAGCACTCCATTTCAGGCAACGTACCACAATGAGAAGAAAAGGAACTGCTCATTGCTAGGTGCACCAGGAGAACTGTTTCAGCTGTACAGCTGGTTGCTCTTGAGCAACGGCAGAGCATTAGGAGCCTGGCATGGGCACTGCCAACGGTCCAGATCATAGGACCCTGATGAGGGGCTGGATCCTGTCACACCAGTCCCTGGCATGGGGAACTCCTGCTAAAGCCATGCAGTATCTCTCACTGTTTCTGTGGAGGGCAAAAAGCTGATTTAGGGCTGGACAAGAGTGCTAGCACTAACAAAGAGCTGCGACCTGTCCCCTCATTTTGCAGCCTTACATTTTGCAGACTCCAGAATTCAAGACTATTAGTCTCCCTGAATAATTTCCACAGTATAAGCTTTTTCCCAACCTAAACAAATAAGAACCTGAGACAGGACACGCTCCTCTCTGTGGGTAGTGGGACATCCCTGCTACCCACAGCCTAGCCTTGGCAGCCAGTATTTTTCCACTTCATTACAAGCACTGACAGACCAAGGGAGGAGCCGGGAATCTCTCCATCCTCTCCCATGCTGTCAGCAAGCAATGAGGGAGGTTAGCACTGCTCCCTGCTCTTCAGGATGACAGCTAAAGGTAAAATGCTTCCAGCTACTGCTCAGCCTTACTAGGGATTAAATCTGGCTGCAAACCTTCCCCTGATAAGAACTGGCTAGGTTGGGAGAGAGAGATGAACACCCAGAAAAATAGTAAAGAAGAACCATTACTAAAAAGCAAATACCACTGGGTCAGCAACTTACTTTTTTCTTTCCTTATCTCTTTTAAGAGTTTGCGATCCTCCAGCCTGCTGAGCCTGAGATTGGAGCAATTCAGCTGCTGTCTTCCTTTGTTTAAATGCATTTACTTCATCATCCAGAGACTTCTTCTTATCCTCTAGCTTCTTTTTTTCATCCTGATGTAACTTCTTCAGGCGATCAAACTTTTCGTGCAGCTAGAGGGAAAGGAGAGAGGTGAGCAGGACCCAGCACTACCAGATATTCTGTTCACAGGAAAAAGCGAAGATGGAAGGATCCCATGAGATCTGATCCTGCAAGTCTCCGTTGGTCTCTACATCATTTCTAGCCCCCTGAGCTGACACTGCATAGACAAAGGGCAGGGAACAGTCTCCTTCCACAACAACTTACAAACCAGGCACTGTTCCAGTGAGGCACCACTGCACAGACTAACAGTAGGGGATTGAAAGAGTATAATCATAAAGATATTTTAATCCATTTCCAGGGGTCTCTGCCTTTTTCTTCTTTAAAGGTCAGTAAATTAATGGATTTTTCACAGTCCTAAGGAAGTTGTATGGACATATTTTTTATATAACAAGCTTATATCAGGGGCTGTTTCTCTCCTTGAGTTTTGCCACACTGCAACTCTCCATCAGAATCAAGACTCCAGGACTTTCATGATGCAGTAAGTTGTACAGTACAAGCACTATGATCTAGTTTTGTCCTACAGGATGAACACCTTAATGTCCCCATGACCCCAGGTTAAACTTTAGGCTTCTTGATAAGAAAGTCCTAAACCACACTCTGCAGAAAGTGCTTTGGCAGCAGCTACCTACTTGGAAGTGGATCTATCAAGAGACACAACTATGAAGAGACAAGTACTGCAGTCTTCACCTCTTTTTCAGCCTCCTTCAGCTCCGCTTCTTTTTCCTTGACCCTCTGGACAAACATTTGCCTCATTGCCTCTTCCTTTTTCTGCAGTTCCCCCAGAAACTCATTTCTTTTGGCTTCATAAGTTTCTTGTAAGCTAAAAAGAAAGGAAAGTCCAGTGATATGACTTGGGACAAACTCTGCTTCCCCTGAGCCTCTGAAATCAGGCCCTCACCAGGAATATTGCTTGCCCACAGCACATTTGCTACTCACCCACCCACGTGTGCCCAAGGTCGTCTTCATCCAACCATTTTTGAGGTCTGTAAGCTATTGCACTTTCATGTATGTTGAATGCTGGGCAATTCAAAGAGCCTAGCTGGCAACTAAGAGTTGTTTGTTGTCCCTCTTGTTCAGAGGGACACTGCTGTATCCCTGCAGCACACACATTTCTACTCCTATGCCTGCAGTTTCACAGTCAATCCTGCACACGGTCTCTGTGTTTTCACCTTCTCTCACTCAGCCAACACCTTTGCTGAAGTCTGGATTTATCTGACCTGGCAGGTTTTCTTGCTGCATTGGTTCTTTACATGCTCTCTCAAGGACACACACATACACACACAAGCGCAGCGCATCCAACAATGCCTCTCTTAAGCTCTCCTGTCTCCTCCAGGGTTCCCACCTGAAGGGTTTGCTGTCTGGATCGGTGTCCTTGAAACCCATCTCTTCCAGTTTACATCGCCGGTACAACTCATAGTGGCGCGTGTGGGTCTGTTCGCGAAGGTCTTCCATGTTCACGCGGATCAGCATCTCCCGCAGCTTCACAAAGTCGCAGTGAGCTTCATTCTCCACTGTAAGAAGACATGATAAGGAGTAAGATGGGAGCAAAACCAAAGGTGTCTTCCCACATTCCCTATCTGTCTACTCCTCCAATAGGTTTAACAGCCCTTCCGAGCAGAGAAAACTGTCACTATAGGCCTGACACAAGGATTTAACAAAAGATAATTCCCAGTGAGATATAAGTCCAGCAGGCCCTTGCTCCTCTTACGAGAGCCCTCTGCCTCCTGGCAGAAGTGTCACCATTCATGCTACGAAAATCCCAGGGCTCAACTCACCCTGCACTGTGCCCCAGGGGTACTGACGAGCTTTCATCATTTTGTTTCCTATTTTCAGTTCCTCCGTGCTCCCGATCACTGCAAACGGCAAGTGGCCCTGGAACACATTTAATGATAGCCGTGTTAGTCCCTCTCAACTCTGGCTGACTTGTCAGCACACAGAGATTAGCACATCCACTGAGCAAGACAGTCATTATGCACACGCTAATCTCGGGGAGTCTAGTCACTGGCCACTAGCCCAAGACAAGGGGGGAAAAAGGAAAGGTCCTTTTTCGAAACCTTGTTAGTGCTACCACTCTACATCCTCTACCTGGCTGATCCTCCCAGCCACAAGGTCTCAGGTTGAGATGAGCCAGTGCAAGACTAGCATCAGAACGACAGCTCAAACAACGTGCTGCGCGGCTGTGACTGCGGTGCTGTCCCGGGGGCTTGCCGTGGCTGAGGAGAGAACATCTGCACAAGCACAGAAGCAATAAAAGAGGTCTTGGAGCCTTCTTGATTTTATCCCCCCCACCACTCCCTCAGCTCACACTGGAGCACAAGACAACTCGCCCTATCGGATCATGAGATCAAAGTCCCTCCTTCACAACCAGAGTAACAGCTCTTTCCCCACTGCTTGCTTCAGCCCTGGTGAGGAAGGGCTGAACAGGTCCTGCACTGGGTCAGCCTCCGCATCCACGTGTGCCCTTGGGTCTGCCCCAGGCTGAGCTGGGAAGGACTCTGCATTCCCTGGGGCTGTGCTGAGCCTGCCCCCTGCTAACACTCCATAGTGCCTCACGCTTCCTGCAGCTGTGTAGGGGCTCACCCTCAGCACCCCCTTCCCAAATCCCGCAGCACTACTTTATCAAAACTGGTTCTGAGAAACCCAAAGGAGTGCCAATGGCTTTATAAAATCCTCATGATGTTAATGCTACCTGCAGCCACTGCTAGATGGCTGCCAAATCCAAGGATCACACCCATGAGGAGGGATCCTGGGCACAGCAGAGCAGAGCTGTACCGCTAGCTCAGCTGCGCCTTGTTACACTCTTCAAGCTCAGACACACACTCCACAGAGTGCAGTTGTTACAAGTACCTGAAGGCTGACTAAGAACAAGAGGGATTTGCTTTTCAAAAATTCAGAAATAAAAAATAGTCACTTCTTAGTAAAGAAGGTACTTTTTGTCTTCTGCAGAGAGACTAAGAGACTCGCCCAGTGCAAGCTCAGCAGAGTTGGAACAGAAACAACTCCCGACACCTCTCTAGGCTCAGAAGACTTCACCTTACACTCCCCTCATTCCCCAGACTCAAGCAGCCAAGCAAACCCCTCCAGACACTGCTATCATACTTTGCTGCATTTATCTGTTGTGCAATAAGCAAGATCCCTCCCCACCTCTGCTTGCTCCTGGTAATCGTATTGCATTCTGCCAAGCTGCAAAGAAGTCAAGCGCAAGGTTTCAGGACTTAAAAATAAAGTTGCCAGCTCCCTGCACCCACCCCTTCTGCTGAGTTTTGTGCAGTGACATTTGTTAGCTAGAGCTTCTGAAGTGCACTGAGTTCTGGGCAATTAAAAGGGCCCCAGGAAGCCAACTATATGGAAGATCAGCAACCCTGCACTGCTCTCAAGAGCAGGTAGTGAAGTTTTAATTCCACAGGTTATCTGAAAACTTGGACAAGTTCATGACAGCTGGTACAACCAAAGTATTTCAGAGATGATGTTTTCTGCTTTCAGAGTGTGGCTTATACAGTCAAACTGCAAATACAGCAAAACTGCCTGCAAGCATTCACAAAGATCTGCTCTTCAGCATTTATTCCTTGGCCTCCCAGCTCTCGCATGGGACATGCAAAGTGGGGCTGGTGGTCAGTCTGATGGGGCCACCCTGGGCCATGCAGAGGCTCTGTGCACTGGGACCTCCTGGGTCACTCTCCATGCCGAGTTACCTTTGCAATCATACTGACGTGCCAGCGCCTGGAAGAACACAGGCCAGCATGGAGCTGTGCCTGCTCTGCGCCCGGTAAGTTCCCTGAGGGAGAGTCCAAGCAGCAGAAAGAGGAAAGGGGTCTCCCAGGTTGAAGGATTCTGATTTTCAGCAGAAGACTGTCTAATCGCAAAGGGCAGAGGATACAAAACACTGGAGGGGAAGGAAACAAAGCTGTCTCAGCTGAACAGCCTCCATACCGCAACATGAGGGAAACTCCCCTAGCCAGCTTTCAAAGGAATAATTTGCTGCCTCGTTTCTACAAGCTGTTGTTTTTCTGACTTCAAGACAGGCCACGCACAAGCAGCAGCACTATCCACAAACACTTCTGCAAACAGAGTCAAGACGACTCATCAATGGTCCCTGTGGAGCAGGTCACTGCCTCTCCACTGGCTGCAAACAGGCCTTGCACATCCCGTAGCATCCCGTTGGGCAGCCACTGCCAGGCAGCCTGACAGGAGAGAGGGCAAGCAGAGACCCCAAGGCTGAGCAAGGGCCACATGCCACCTTTGGCTGCTCTGGGAGGAACCGGAGACATCACACCACAGGGACATGCTGGCTAGTGCCGGGCACTGGGTGGGCTCTTCACCTACTGCAGGTCGGGCTCCTCACTATGGGATCCACTGGAACTGGTCTGTACCTGTGGCCAACTGCTGGAAACTCTGAAACACCTCAGTTACTAAACCCCACAGAGGCTACAGCCTCCTCTGCAGGTCTACACAGTGCTACTTCCAGAGGAAAAGCCATCACAATTCTGTGGCACCTCAGGTTTCAGGCCAGCCACTCCCCCTCCAGGACAGAGGATCAAGCGAACGTTTGCTAGTGGCAATGTGCTTCCCACTGGTGACCCTCTCCTCCACAGCCCACCAGAGCTGCTCACTTCTCTCATCTTCCCATCCTGCCACTTCTGGGTGAGAGCTTCCAGACCTCCCTGTTGGCTTCTTGAGGCTGTCTGTGAGGAGCATCCCATGGTCAGCTTCTTTCACAGCTGTTAAAGCTTTTTGTTTGCTTCGTATCCAGGTCTCCAGGAGAGTGAAGTAAGGGGATTTCCAAGGGACAAAGCAAGCGATGGGAGCAAGAGGAGCAACCTGAGACAGTGGGAGAAACACCGTGCTATGGCCACACAGGCACAGCCTAAACCTCAGCCGTCCTCAAGCCCAGTTGCCCTCAACAGCAGAGTCACTTCCTCCACTGGTACCAACTGTTTGGCTGCTGTCTTTGACAGGGAAAAAGTGCTGGTGATTTCCTTCTTCCATCAGCAAGGAAGTTCCAGCTTCCCCATGTGGGACAGCTCACATAGCTGCATGTAGTTTCATTTAACTAGCAGGTGCAGGGAGAATATTTTCTTCAGTAATTAGACTAATTCATTCAAAATGGAAAAGCCAATAGGGAGTTGAAAGAATAGGAGAGCTTGTTTTTCTTGTTTGATTTAAGAATAAAATCCAGATGGGAAGAGACCTAAAGGATTTTAGACAGTGTCTTCTCTGAAATTGTAAATATATGCTTGATGGGATTCTCAAAAAGACCAAATCAGTTTCAACCAAAATCAAGCATCTTGTTCTGAAGATGTGTTTAATCTGATTATTTTCTAAATACTTCACTTGACGCCTTTGTTCATGGTTAAATACTTTTGTTTCTGATCATGATGGCACAGATTTTAAGTCCTTCAGTTAACCAATTCCTGCCAGATCAGGCAATATTTTCTCTGTTTAGTAAGCCAATTGGGAATGCAAAATACTCTGGAAAAAGATTCCTAATGCATCCAACACAAGTGGATATAATAAAGTAAAATGCATATGAAATAGTGAGTTTGCATATTTTAAAGCCTAATTTTTACTTTTCATGCAAAAGACAACTAATGGAGGTAATAAGCAGAACACTAAGTAATCAAAAGACCAGTCTCAATTTTCTCTGTAATTAAAAAAGAAAAGTAACCAATCCAGAGAAGCTGCTGGTCAGCAAGAAGCACTACTTAAGCATGAAGACTGCATTTATAACCTTTCAAATATGTTGATCTGTAACAGGCAAAGACAATGAAGCTTTCTGTAGAGAAGTACAAACACAAAGGTTAAGGCAACTGATTTAAATCAAAGGTTCCCATTCCTCAATTTTAAACATGACTAAAATGGCACTTTAAGTCACAAACCTAAATCAACCCATCCTGGCTCTTTTACTGGTCTCAATCCCTCCACAAGCTCATCTCCTGACCCGAAGTGTAAGATATTTGTCTTACATTGCTAATAAAATCAGTATTTGGATGCAAGTTTTCCAGGTCTGCAAAACTGCCTTGATCAGATTCAGATTCTGGCCTGCTTAGTCCCCATAAACCTGGTAATTATGATTTATATCAGTTTAATGGAGGATTTAAAGAGTTGATCTCTCTGTGCAGCAGCTGACACAACCTAGAATATCTATGACCCGAGACAGCAATTCCCTCCCAGGAGACATGCAAATGGCTGAAAGGAAAGATGAGCAGAGGTTTACCTCCACCCTCAGAATGGCCAAGGGGGGAGGACTTCTCCCCTTGTCATCACACCTCTGGTTCCTTGAGGATGGAGTGATGTTGTATCTTCATTTCCAGGAGTAACTGTAATCCTACACAGAGCACTAAGCACTGAGAAAGATGCCATCACAAAACTACTCTGACCAGGAAACCACCACTGACAGCTCTTACGCTAGGACAAGCTTCATGTTTCTTTCAGGCCTCTCCACAACACTCTACAACTGTTAATGTTAGATCAAGAGATGACATAAAAGCATGTCAGCTAGACCTGTACTTCATCAACAGCCGTTAAGCAAGCAGCTTCCCCTAGTTGCTTTCCTGTAAAAAGCCTTCTGGAAAACAGGAGCATGGTCAGGATGCGCTGCCAGAGGAACCAAGGGGCAGCTTGCTCTGTCTTCAGGGAGCCACAGACAGGCACCCACAATGCTGGGAATGCCAGAGCGAGTGCCTGCAGGCACCTCGAGACATGTTTGGCCCAAGTTGTGTACTGTTTTTCACACGTTGCTGGTTAAGCTGTGTAACTCCTTGCCACAGGATCCTGGAAGTTCGCTGATGGGGGGCACATCAGGTGATGCGAGGGACAGAAATCTAGAGAAACCCTTGAGCTGAACGGGGTTAGATGCTGGGGAAGTATCTGGGGGAAGTGAAGCATCATATACATTCCCTCTCTTGTATACTCCAGAAGTGACCAAAAGCAGATGTTTAGGGAAGAGAAGGGCTGGATGGGCCTCGGGTCCCACCCTTGTGTTTTATTTCTCACATCAGCACTTGGCTGGATGTAGCTCAAGGGAAGCCACTGCTCTAACCAGCCTCATTGTATCCCCCGTCCATCCATTCTGGCCAACAGTACCAGAGCCAAAAGGCCAAACCAGACCAAGAACCTAGCTAAGTAACCTGATCAATAATAAAATGGCACCTCAGTGCAGACAGGAGTCCCAGAGCCAGCCAGGTGAAGGGGCAATGCTGCAAGGACAGCCAGAGGCAAGAGGAGACACCCATGGAGGCAGGGCTTTGCAGGAAACATCAGCCCAGGAGAGCAAAACTGTTTGGTGCAAAAAACACAGGGAGAGGAGCAGAGAGGTGCATGTCTGTAGGCAGCCTGCACCTCACACCAGATGGGTAATACCCATCTGATTAATTCATAACCCAGGACTGTCCTTGCCCTGCACAGCCAGGCGTCTGTCCAATTTTCTACATGTCCCTCAAAAGATACGCAATAGGACAAGGAAGGGGTTAAAAGTCTGTTTTCTGACTAAAAAAGCCCACCAGAGAGGCAGTAGCCCACCACAAGGTTCTGCTAGCCTAGGATGACACTACAAGCATGGGATCCCTGTGAAATCCTCTGGTTTTAAGACACAAAATAAAAAGGAAAGTGGATTAAGAAGCACCCCAGTATGGGTCACCAACCCTACAGTGACAGCGCGGTTCTGGGAGAGGAGGAAGCACTTACATTCATTGTCCCATTTATCTCCGCCACAGATTCATCGTCTGTTGGGAACTGGTAGATCTGAACCCCATTACTGACCAGTTCACTTGTGATTTTAATTTTAAATTTGGTCAGCTCACTCTTGGAAATGGCATCAGATTTGGCAATTATGGGAATGATGTTCACCTAGAAAGGAACAGAGTGTTAAGAAGTTCTCAGCTTTGCTCCAGGGAGTTTTCCCAAGTCTGCAATACAATTTACAAAAACTTAAAAGTGCTCAATAAATCTACAGGATTTATCTGCCAACCTAGTCATCTGCACTAGCATAAGGGCTATTCAAGATGGGGAGATGTGCTCTGGAAAAGCAGCAGCCTTTCCACCATGCACATGGTGAACCTGCAAAATAAGAGTTAAACATGCCTACCTTGCTGTCAAGCTTCTTCATTGTTACCAAGTCCAGGGACTTCAGCGAGTGGCCTGTCGGAGCAATGAAGTACAAGCAAGCGTGGATCCGGGTGTCATGGTAATTGTGCAAGACCCTTTTTATCTTCAGTTCTTCTTGCAAGTAGGCTTCAAACTGAGCATCAATGAACTCAACGATGGGCTTATAGCTTTGGTGAAAGGAAAAAAAAAAAAAAAGAGTTACACAGTAAGAGAGGTAAACAGACAGCGCTCCTTTGCTTGCTTCTAAGAAACAAGCTGCTTGTTAGATTTCACTTCCCAAGACCAATCCACCCGTAAGAAATTTTAAAGTTGCACTACTGTCAAGGAGATGTGGTCCTACATCAGACTGTAGCAGCCCGTTTGACAAACACAGTACGGGAGATTCAGCAGAGGACAGGAGACACACCATCCTTTTCAGGGAAAGCAGACTCTCCTACTTTGAAACACGAAGGTGAGAGACTTTTAAAAGCAAGAATAATGTAGGCTCATTCGCAGTGCGTAACCCTTGCTTGCACTCAGGGAGCAAACGGCTTGCTGCTCTCACAGCCCCGAGTCCTGCAGATGGAAGACACATCTCCATTCAGTGCTACCTTAGCCCAGCGCTCTGGGGCAGGAAATCCCTGCAACTCCCTTGCAATGCCATCTGAAATACAGAGCCCGTCAGACTCACAATGTAAAAGATATCAGTGCATCTCAAACAAAACTAAAAAGAAAATCTAACAGATTTACAACAAAGCAAAACTCATCAGCAATGTCTCTGGGAAGATGCACCTTGGAGATGGTCTGGTGGAATCGCACACCCCTTAACTGCCACGCTTCAGCCACGCTGGGGTGTGAGCTGCCAGAGATGCTTCCCCAGGGTATATCTCACTGCACATTTATCGTGCCTCCTTTGGCAACATGGAAGAGCCCTGCCAGAAGTGGCTGTTAAGCCAAGTGGTCACTAACCCATGCTAGTGGTTTGGTCAGTAGCTTGCGTTCTGCACAGCACAAGGAAACAAGCACAGGTGCCTTGGAGCTCTCCGCTCTCCCCACCAGATGAATTTGGGCAGAAGGCTGCCAGCAGGCCAGATATTGCTCTGACAGCATGAAAAAAGCTGCTTTGATAGCTGGAGCAGTGCTGATGCACCACAGCCTCTGTCCTCTCATCTACCTGTCCCATCCCAAAGAGATGACATGGACAACCAGTAAGAAGGAAGGAGGAAAACTTTACAGCACAGTCTGGCCCAACTAGGGCCCAGGGGGAGACCCTGGATGAGAAAACCAGGTCATGATACCGCCTCTCTACCCCTTCACTCACCTGTCCTCTTTGTTGATCTGATCCCCAAAGCCTACTGTGCTCACAATAGTCAGTTTGAGGTTGACGTTGCTCTCCTGCAGGTCGTAGGTATTGGATTTCAGCTGGACCCCAGGCTGTGAGTGAGATGCTGGGTCACCTTCAAACTTGGTGTTGAAAAGCGTGTCCATGAGGGTGGATTTACCAAGGCCAGTTTCCCCTATTGGAGAAAAAGAGAGTTTAAATGTTCTGTTGAATATTAATATGGCTTGGCCTTTCAGCTTCCAAACATTAACAGGGGTGAAATTGTAGCAGATGAAAGCAGATCTCATGCTCCAAAGGGATCGTCTGGCAAGCAGAAAGCCATGTACAATGGGAGGTCTGTATTCCAGGCAAATTACATTTCACAGTCTAATGGCCATTAATATTGTTAGAAAATAGAGATGAAAAGTAAGAGTTGAAAAGGCAAAGCGGAAAGCATCATTCAGATCCTGCGTAAACCCACAACTACACTACAGAAGATGCTGTTTTCATTAAAAAGTGGGAAGGGGAATTGGGCTCATTGCCATTTCCAAAAAAAGATGCTCCAGATCAATAGGTGTCTAATAAGCAGCCACTGAAATAGCCTTCTTCCATGCAGAAACACTGTGATTGGTTCCAGTCCTACAGCAAGTTGTGCGGTTGGTTTCTTGTACCCACAACAGACTGAGTTGAGACATCAGCCTTCTAGACTGGGAGGGGACATTTTCTGTAATATTGTTACCATACCTTAGAGGCTACACAAGCTATACAATACTCCAAAATCTGCTTCAGAAACTTCTGCAGCATTGAACTGCTATTTGGATTCCATCTATCAACAGGGAACTATTTCCTTGTCTGGAAGGAAGGGACAAATCCCAGAGGCCAGTCTTAAATTTGGTTTAGAAAAACCCCAGGAAGAACAAAACAAATCCCTCCACACACTCATTCCATAGGGCAGCCTGCCTTACCACGCTCTGACAATGGAGCCAGCTTTCCAAGCTCAAAGGATCTGACTTCGTGCTATACCCGTAAGCAGTGTGGTTTGCTGCCCTGTGAGGGCTGTTGTGTTTTGGGGAAACAGCAATTTCTGAGCTGCCCAGCTGGCTTTTGCTGAAACTTGAGGAGCCAGCCGAAACCCACCCACTGCGAAGGCTGCTCCTCCAGCCTGCTGCGGGACCACAGGGGGACTGTCTGGTTGAAGCAACCTTCTCTCCCCTCCCCGAGCCCTCAGCTCCCAAGCAAGACAACTTCATCATTTTCCTACCCTGCTCAGAAGAAAAGAGCTTCTTATTTTTGTAGGTTTAGAGCTCTGCAACAGATCCAAACTTGCATGAAATGCCCAATTCAACAAGGGGAAACTCCTCCCCATCCTCCCCCATCCAAATCTCAGAGCCTCACCCCTGCAAGCAGCCAAATTCCTCTCTTGGCCCTAGAAAGGACTTCTCTCACTCCAGGCTGAAGTACATGGCAGGCAGGGCAGGGCAAACATCCACTGCTGTGGGAACTGAGTGGTCTCTGATTGCCAGGATCGTGTATCAAGTATCTTTCCAGAGGCAGCAAGATTCATTAACATTTGAAAGTCAATGTACACCTTGAGCTGCAGAGCTGCCTGGGAGCCAGCTAAGAGCTTGCGCTCCATCACTGACTGATGCCAGTTACAGCCAGAACAGCCACAAGTCCAGTTGCTCTTCGCTCCAATCTCATTTGCAATCCGAAGGGGAGAAGAAGTCAGCACCAGGAGCTGGCACTGCTGCAGTCCCTTGTGCTACGTCATTGCATCAGCTGTATCTACAATGCTGCCGAGCGGAGTGCACCGGCAGGAAGGAGGGAGGGGGACCAGCAAAGCACAAGGTTCTCTCTGTGGCTGGAAGAATGAGCTGGACCATCCAGAAGACTCATGGCTGATCACAGCAAGCCCTGCATTGACTTGGAATCAAACCAGTCTGGGCTTTTGGGGTACTGTTTGCCCCAAATGGGGAGCAGGTGCACAAAGCACAGCAGACCAGAGAGCATTGGCACGGTTTGGACGGAGATTTTGAGAGTTAACAGCAGACAGCCTGTACAACCTGCCAGGCCTTTCTCAGGCATTCCAGGAAAACAGCAGTGTAAAAAAAACCCCAAAATCTAAACAGCCTGAGAAGGCTGCAGCATTTCCAGAGACCCTGCCAAGGGATGGGTGGGACAGAGCAGGGAGTTGGCTGCTTGCCTGCGAATGCCAGGATCCCCAACGGGGCGTCTCGGGACAGGGGAGCTTGTCAGCCCTGGGGTGCAGGAGCATCGCCCACACACCAGCCTGGCAAAGTCTCCTCCTGTGCCGCTGCCCCACGTTCTCTGTCCCACAGCCTGGCAGGCCCTGGAGCAGGCTTGGATCCAGCACTCTGTCCCTCAAGCTTCCAGGGCTGCAGGACAGGGTGACAGGGGGAGCAGCAGCAGTGACCAGGGCAGGGAGCTGCTCTCTGCAGTGGATACACAAGGTCGTGTGTAAATCACATTGGCTTTGGGCAGACAGAACACCCTGTAAGCCACCTCTCATTTCTGCCTCCCTCCTTCTTTAGGGTGAAAGGTGTTCACGTGAGGCCAAGATTACTGTTTAAACTCATCCTGAACCTGCTAATCATTGTCTACTTTAAATCAGTCTAATGTGTTGTTTTCAGCAGGAGTGACTTTAACTGTCACAGGGGCCAGGAGAAGTGCAGAAGAAATGCAGGCAAATATTTAAGACAGAACATGTTTTTATACTCCATCTCATGCCAGCTACACAGGGCCAGCAAAGGCAACTTTGAATTTACACACTGAGGTTTTCCTTTTGGAAGGGGAAGATCTGAACTGGTACTGCATTTTTCCATAGGTGCCCATCCAAACACCTACAACTTCGTGTTTAAAACACAGAACACCCAGCCACTAACACAGCATCTTAAACATGAAGTCTGCACACCAGAAATGATATTCAGCCAGCAGGTACACCCATCCCCACACTGTGTAACCCCACTTACACGGCACGGCATTAAAGCCTGCCAGGGAAAAGGAGGATGGAGGAGAGAGGAATGACCATCTCAGCTAAAAGAAGCACGATGTTAACACTGGTGGAGTGACATGGTATGGCAAAAGATTGAAGATGTTAATAAAGTGCTTTGTTGTGTTAAATATGACCAGAGCTAGGGAGCAGTGCTACTTTGAAGGGCAAAACGACAGAAGGGAGGATTTCTGAATCTCCTGGGAGTTTCTGCCTCACACAGAGGCAACTTTCCACTGGCTGGAAGATGTAAATGGTGCCAACTGCTTCTTGTAAGGACAGGAGTCCAGATGGAACAGATGGTCTGATGAAAAGGACAAGTAGTCTGTGCTTGTTCCAGCCGACAGCGCTGGAATCTTCTCCAAAAAGCAAAAACGATGAATGGGGATTAAGGGAGGCAGAATTACTGTGGAAAAAGCAGCGGTGTATGCAAACTAAGAGGAGTCCTTGGCAGGGAGATTATTTCCTGATGTCAGGCTTATAGGCACACGTGTGATTTCATCTCCAAAACTGTACTTAAGGATTATGCAACTCGGCAGTGGTCTGCTCTCCTGAAGCAGGGCTGACAAAGCGCTGTGGGGAGGACAGGGCAGGGAGGGTGACCTTTCCTGTTAGACTTCTGCATCAGAAGCTCTGACAGCTACTGAAAAGGTGTAGTGTTGTGCCTTTCATCATGGGATGGAATTTAGCTGTTAAGTCTGTCGATTTTCAGATGTGAAAAAAAAAAAAAATGGCAAGAGACACCACATCAGTCAGGCTCTGGACATGCAGCAACCTTACACCAGCGCCCAGAAGGCAGCATCCACAGTTAACACCCGACAGCCTGCCAGGCTAGAGACACTGTGCTGGGCTCCCCACACCTCCTTGCCATCTCCTGAGACATGGTCCCTGCTCCAACTGCACATGCACGCAGCGTCTTCAGTGGTCTACGGAAACGGTTCATCAAATCCGTCATTGACAGAGCAGTGGCACCACTTGCAAAAACACAGCTGGGACAAGACCCACTCACCTCCCTTCAGCTACTCCACAGAAATCCTCTGCTCTGGGACCAGACTGCCCTCCCTGCATGGCCTGGGCAGGACGTTGCTCACACTCTGGGGCTCTCCAGCTGGTGACCAGGCAGAGCCCATGCCAAAAGACAGCAAGCACCAGTACCGCAAGGAGTGAGTGATCCAGACATCGGTACTGCAAAGTGACATGTCATACTGTGCAGGCAAGCAACACAAGGGCTACCCAACGCCAGCTACTCTAGGTGAGATGGAGATGAGAGGTGGAGGTGAGGTGCTACCATACCCATTTCTGACACTAGCCAGCAGCTAAGGTGGAGGAACAGAAGAAGCTGCGCCCACAGCAAATGCTTCTTCCTTTAGGAAGCTCCTGGCTTCCCAAACCAAAATGGGTATCTTTGTGCTGAGTTCATCTTCGTGGCTTCGTCCTTGCACAGAAATTTTGGCATCCTAAGTACCTCGCAGCAGTAAGCTGAATTATACACCACAAAAGTTGTACCTCCTTTTTTGTGGCTGGCAATTTAATTTGTTTTTCCCTAGTACATGTTAAGTGAAACAACAAACAACTGCTCACTGGCCCCTTTCTCCACATCACTCAGGATTTAAGAGGCCCCAGTCCTATCATCCTCAATCAACTCTGTGGGAGGACAGAGGAGCTCTTGGAGTATTTCTCTGTTCAAAGGCATGGAGCAGCTTTCACAAGAGGACCCTTTCACAAGAGAGCAACACCTGTCCTTCATGAGATTAACAACCGTGGCTCCAGATATCAAATAATTCAATCCTAAAGAAAATGTATACACATGCACAGCCCTTTCATGTGAAGAAATAGGAGCTAATCCAATGTAGCAGGTTTGTTGAGACAAGCCCTGAGGCAGCTCAGCCTGATAAGGCCATCTCTCATGGAGAGAGGAAAAAATAGTTCTTTTCATCCGACAGGCGTTCAGAGACACCACACGATTCACCCATCACAAGGCAAAGGCTGGGCTGCAGGAACAAGAGGAGCAACACGGGCTCACAAAAGATGCTGGAGCACCTCAGAGGACTACCCGGCTCCCCGCCACTGCTGACCGCCCCAGGGTGTCAGTGGCAAGTGGGCAGAAGAGGGCTGAGGAGATCGATGGCTTTTTGGTTGAGGAAACCCTGTTCTCTCCTCAGCTGGTTGCACCAGTGACCGCAATAACAACCATTGGGCAACTTCCAGGCTGTACAGCTCATCACCCCAGAGAAAGCTGCCTGCTGGAGAGCAGATGGCAGCTCTGCACGAGGAAACCTGTGCACATCCCTTCCTTCCCCAGCCAGCGAGAGCTCACACACTCCAAGGGGCTCGTTCGTTTGGAGACCTCAAGCAGTTGGGGTACAGCCCCTGGGAAAAGAGAAAGAATTCCTGCCACAAAATAGCTGTTTCACATTGCACTGAATAGGCTAGTTAGAACAAATGCCCTGCAAATCCCAGGAGAGAGGAAGAGGGAAACTCCTGCTTATAAGGGGATACTAGTCTAATGCAACTATAATCTACCCTGGGCAAAACTGAGGAAGTTTACATCAAAAAATATCTGCCTATTCTTCCTCTTTCTTTCCCCCATCTCACTGAGAAATACAGTCAGCACAGAAGGTCTCAGCCGTTAAATACTTCTCCAGCCTTTGCACTGAATTAAGAGGGAACTAACATTTTAACACGGAAGCTTTAGGAAGAAAGTGGTTGTGCTGAGGAACAAAATACCAGAGAAACCATCCGCACCCCCTAACTTCTTATGAGAGGTTTGCTCATTTATTCTATCTTTGGCTCTAGTCTCAAAGGGGAGATAGCTTTCAGCATGAGAAGAGCTAAAAATTGCTCCACTCTGGACGTGCTGCTGAGAGCAATTTCTGAAGCTTTCCTTGGCTCCTCCATCAGGAGCTGGGGGAATCAGTGGCTCAGATCCAGTATGGCGCAGAGCAAAATTGTCATTGGATTTTTCCTCCAACAGATGACACACACAGCTGAAAAATGGGGGCAATGAAGTGCCTTTCTATCACGCTTAGTGGCCTGACTATGGGATCAGTTCATCTACTTGTTGTTTTATTGGCTCCAATCCTCATTTTCTCCCTGTTCTTTCAATTTTTCACCCCAAACTCCTGCTGTACAAGTGAGACCCAAGAGAATAAGTTACAGATGGACTCTGGGACTTTTTGTTTTCTTTATCCGGGATGTTTAAGAGTTTAACTTTGTTACCACAAGTTAACAGAGGCACCAGACAACTCTCAAAAGACATTTTAAAGCCTGACCTCCCCAACTCAAGATTTGTAGATCTTTTTCTAATGAAACTTACTGATTTTTTCTATAAAGTTTCTTTATTTCAAGACTGACCATGTCTGTGTTATTACTATTCATAAAAGACTGACATTAATAATTAACGCATATTGATCTGGGCAAGTCCTTGTTATTCAGATCAACAAGCGATTAATGCATTCCATTTCTGTCCTGCAAAGAGGAAAGCAGAAGCATTCAACTCCTCTCCACACATTGAAGTGAACATATAACCACAGGAGGCATCCACTGCTACACCTATAACTCGTAGAAGAAAAACACAGCAGCTCAGTAAGTGCAAAAGGAAATACTTCAAGGCTTCAGTCTTTGGGACAGGAGTTTCACTAGGTCATATCACATTCACGTACTGTGGAATCACCTAGCCACTCAGCCTGACAGTGACCTCCACTTGTCAGCAAAGTTTATCATCTCACATGAATGCCATTGTCAGGGAAAGTTTTCCTCTCAGCTCCATTTAGCAGGCTCAGCTCCCCTCTCCTCGACCTACGACTCTTGTCTCAGACTTAACCCTGTCCTGGGCAAACACCAGGTCCATACCACAAGCTGGATCTCTCATGGGAGGGGACAGACAACCTTTGTGCAGGTGCAGAGCTGACCACCAGCTGAGTCCCCAGGAGGTATCCACAGCTGCAGCTCTCCCCTCTGTCATGCCAGGCACTGCTGGGAGCATCTGCAGACAGGGCTTACTCTGAGCAGCCATGGCCACACAATAACCTCTTGCTCCCAGAGGCAGGGCACTGGCATCAGTAAAACAAACTAATTGTCCTATCATACAACTATTAATTCCCTATTATTAATTTTCTTATCCACCTTACTAAACTACTGTACCAAAGCCATACAAGACTTTACTTCTGTTACCTAGGAGCGCCTCCGAGGAGGGACCATTTGGGATCCTAACCCTGGGGAAGACCTGTGAGACGGGCAGACGCTGCAGGGACAGACACCAAGTCCTACTACAGCGCCAGACCCCAGCTGAGATCCATACCACATGGCAGCTTGGATGATTGTCTGACCAGCTAAGGCTTGGCCAGACACTATTTTAATTCAAGTATGCACAGAAGGGAGGAGAAAAAAAAAAAAGCTTTTAGTGATTTAAGAGGAGCATGACTGGTATTTTGTTAAAATAATTATAATAATAATTCAATACCTAACCAAACAAGACCTCAGAACAAAGTTTTCTGGCATGAGTACCTATTTTCTTTTAAAAACATTTAATTCAAACATACTAGGAAAATAAAGATCATCATAAAACCCTGGGATTTTAGGCATTTTATTTCTATGGTTCACTGCTTGGTAGAAAGCCATACTGCATAACCCCAGCAGGGATTTCCCAGGGCACCAGTAAATCTTGTTCCTGAAAACAGACAGAGCAGTTGGGGAAATTTAAATCAAAGCTACCTTGTTAACACTGTCACCTACAAGCTACATCCAGCTGCAGAGAAACCCTTTTCAGCAAGAGAACTTTCCAAAATGGAAATACTCACCCACACACAGGATGTTGAAACAAAACCCATGATTAACTGATTTATTAACCAGCTGGTCAGGCAAACTGTCAAATCCCACGTGTCCAGAAAGCGGGACAGTACGACAGCCTTCACCCTGAAACACAATGAAATAGTTGTGTCATTTTCAAGCAAAATACACTTTTCTGTATAAACCCTTAAGACCTCCCAAGCAGAATCAACCGCACAGCCCAAGCAGAGATTTGCACATATACTGCAAATCATATACTGTAAATCGTGTCAGTGTGCTTCTCTCTTCTCCAAAACAAATCCAGACGGCACAAATAGAACATTTCATATGCTGCACATTAGATGGTAGCCCTGTCAGAAAAATATTAAACTGTGCAAAACACGTACCCAAACACAGCTGCTGAAATAAAGAGGTGGCAAAACATTTGTTTCTTCAGAAATTATGTAGACACTCAAGTCTCACCTTACACTGAACACAAAAAGAATCCTCTGTGCAAAGGAATGTATTAATGATGCCTCCTCCTATAAGCCTATTACAATTCACTTAGTGTGAACTGTAACTCGCACATAACTCACATTCACAGCTGCAATTATAGAAACTAGCTAGAAACAGTTAGGAAATCTGTACCTACATCTAGTAATTGAACAACCCAAACACACTGCCTCTGCAAAGCTCAAGTGCTGTAGCATAGAAACAGCAGAGAATAGTCTTCAAGCTATCAAACACAGCAGTATCTTCCATATTGTTGCGAAGATGAAAATCTCAGACTGCAAACAGGAGTCTGTCCAAATCCATAAAATGCACATTAGCACCAGAAAATTGGGGATCACTGAAGGAAGCTGCAAGGAAGATGCTTGCATGGGCAGGAGGCCAGACCACACAAGGTAGCAGGTCTTCTCCAGCTCTGAGTGTTGCTCTCTGAGCTTCGGAGCATATCTTTCAAAGCTGGGAACTAAACAGGAAAAAAAAAGCCGAGAAAAAGTGTCCAGAACTGAGCTGCTCATAACCACACAGGCCCATCAGAAGGGAGCCTGCACAGGGGTTTGGGAGTGGAGGTACCCAAACCTGCCTGCTGGGGGGCATGGGCTTCTCCTGCCCAGCCACCAAAACGACTTCAGGAAAAGTTGCTCCCACGCCCTGCTCCCTCCTGTGTCCCACACCACTAACCCAGTCTCCCTGGCCAGGCGTCCCCTTTCTGTCCTGGGAAGCAGAACGGCCGAGCTCCAACTCCTGCTCACGCTGTGCTCCACACCCAGCACAGCTGCTTGCTTCTGGAGGGGGGGTCAGAAATTTTCACCTGGCCATTGCACAAAGGCCTGTGTATGATAAGGCACTCTGGGTTCCAAACCGGCACAGCAGACAGTAATGAACTACATGCAGAGGCTCAACCTCAGAAATGGTATCATGCAAAATGGAGAGTCAGTGCTAACCCCACATATTTGTGCATACTGGAAAGCTCCCCTCCTGCAGCCCCCCAAAAAGGTATTTCCCTCTCTGGAGCAAAGGCTTTTCTTAACAATGTATTTTAGTGTCAAATACAGAAAAGTCCCCTCTGGCCTTTCAGGGACATCATCAGTTCACAAGAAATACTACAGCCAAAAGGCAAGAGTTTATAGGGTGTAATTTTTAACTTACTCTTTCAAAATCGTGTTTTCACATATCTTGAAAGCCTGTTTATAGGGACGGCATACTGGTTTTCCCTCTTCTGTTAATGGCACTCGTATTTTAGGCTAGGAAAAAATCCCCACGGACTGCATTTACTACAGTAGCCTCAGACTACGATTACTTGCCTTGTTACTGTTTTGCCAGTGTGGGTTTTTTTCCAAATATGAGGCTCCAAATACACTTCAGCCATTAACCACATTTACCACCCTGTGATGTGTAAATACGTTTCCCCCTTAGCCATATTTTGTGTATTAATCTGACTCTTCCTGCCAAGATGTTCACCAAATATGGCGTTTTATTAATTCCTGAGCACCTTGCCTCCAAACGACATGTTCATCGGGAAGGCGCTCGAGTTCCCCAGCAGATTCTGTTTTTGCCTTCTGAGGATGCAGCTCCGAGGCTCAATAATTCACAAACAAACAGCTAAAGCAGAAGAAAGGGAGACCGTCAGGCATGCAGATTTTGTGACAACACACCTAAACTCTCCTAAACTGCTTTCACCAAAACAAAAACCCAGCACTGGGGTATCTCATGATCTGCAGCAAGACAACCATGGCACCGGTGCAGAACAGATGGGTGGACAGAGTCCACAAAGGCGTGCGAGAGAACCGCAAGCAGACTCCTCCTGGGGAAGGAGAAATATCAAGTGTATTTTTAATACTCAGCCTTAAAACTGCACCGTTGGAAGGCTGTTTGAACACTACCCTCCCCAGGAAACGTGGGAGGGAGTGTAGGCTCTCATTAAGAACAAACCTTCTCCTCATCCCTAAATATAAGTGTGACCCAGATGGAACAAAATAAATGGTAGAAGTTAAGCCGCTCTCGGCTGAGAGGAGGCATTTACTGTTGCACAGAATTCAGCCTGCAAGTCATTTCCTGTAGCCTCTTTTTCTAGTCACCTGTGGTTTCATAATGCAGTTAAACCACACATCACATCTGCTACAGGCCAGGAAACAAGTACTGCAAAATCTGATTTCCAGTCACAGCAGCTGAGCCATCATGTTAAGTACACAGCCATGAGGTATACTGTGCTACTCTGGCTAAAAATCCAAAGCCTGCTTGGCCAAGGCATCAAGAAATCAGATGCGGTGAAAAAAAACACAAGAAATAATGTTTTAAGGTCAGACTGGTTTTGACACACATCAGAAAGTTGTCAGCAATTACCAGACCTGCAGAGAGAAAAGGAACATTTTCTATCTGATCCACCAAGAAACAGTGCAAGTCACTAGACTACACGCACCAAGTGGTGTCTCTGTATCCCAAATACTGCTATATATAAACAGCACCATCATAAACAACATATGAACACAGCAATTAGTCATCCTGCCTGTACATTAAATGTAGATTTGTATTACCTTGTTCAAAACTGAAGGAAAATATGCTAAGCTTATAAGCTTTTTGCTGAAAAACTGTTCAAGAGCTATCTTCCATGATTTATCTTCAAAAACAATCCTTCAGGGCAAATTTAAAACGTATAAAGAGGTACCAACAAGGTAAGCAAGGTTTAACTATTGTCTGTGTGAAGGCTTTTTCCACCAGCATCAGTGAGCACTGGATGGCTGAGAGTCCTTCCATACTCTCTATTTTAAGTTAGCATCTTCTTGGAACAAAGACAAAGATGGGATCTCTGGGAAGCCAGTGTGAATACTGGCACCACACCAAGACAGCAGATGCCTTTTTTTTCCCCCACATACACAGAGTGACCCCTTAGGATAGAATGGGCTGTTGTTGCTCGGGAGGAAGCAAAGCGTGTTTGCCACAAACAAGATTAAAAGAACAAAAAGAGCAACACGCTCTCTTGCTGCATTACCAGGCAGGGCTATTGTGGAGTGAAAGTAAAGAGTAGCCACTTGGAGAGGTTATTTTATTTTTCCCCTGTCTTTGGAAGAATTACACACCTTTTGTTAGGGCTTTTCCTTGCCACAGAAACCACCCCCACCTACTCTGATTCTTACCGAGAACTATCAGAAATGCATGGAAAATACAAAGATGTTATAATAAATGACCCCAAACCTGAAAGCACTCCACATTATATATCGGTTTACACAAAATGGGCAAGATTTAGACTCCAGGTGTTTGAATCACTCCAGGGTCCTCAGGATGAAAAAACGATTAGAGGAAAATCTTGCTGAATGTGCGTCTCTGCCTTGATCTGCCTTACACAAGTAGGTACAGTGCTGTCACCTCCCAACGTCCTCGGAACGCCAAGAGGCTATTACTGCTTTGTGGAGATAAAGCAGAGCATCCTCCCCGAGACACGCAACGGTGCTGTTCATTGCAAATGTCAACACTCCATATTCAGGACAATTTCTGGTGGCCTAGACTAAAGGAACAATGAAAAAGGACACCAGGGCAAAGGAAAAGCCTCCACTTGGCAATATTCGGGCACAGCACAGCAAATAAAGAATGCTACAGCTCTGAACCCAAGGGACCCCATGTCTAAATGAGGCCCGTGCAACAAGAAAACGCTCCCAAAGACTGCAGTACAATACTTCTTCTGCATCTAATTGAAAAGAGTGTTTCTGTTTAGGACGCTGACAGCTGACATTTAGTACTTCCGACGCAATTTCCCACCTCTCCCCAGATGAGAATCACTTCAGACGCCAAGGCTGTGGAGACTTTCTTCAGAGGATTTCCAAACAGCTGCAACAAACAAAACAGCACCATCCCTCAACAAAAACAAATTAAGCAATGCTCACAGGGTTTCACGACCACTGCCAATGCTCACAGCACCCACTCTCCTGCCCCTCTGCCACCCCATAAAGCTGAGACCTGGGGGGTTAACCCCCATACCCGAGACAACTCTTGCACAAGAAGTCAAATGACAAATCACAAAGCAAGGCAGAACCTCAGTTCAGGTTTCCACACCACAGTTTTTCACATCATCTTTAAGCCAGAACAACATCAGATCCCTTCTCATGACCTCGGTGTTATGGCATCCACTTCCCCAGACTGCATTTGGCTCTGATTAAACAGCAAATTAGAACAACACTTCTACCAATTACTTCTCACTTGTACAAGTGTGCAATTCTCTTATGCAATGAGAAAATTATCCAGCAGACAGTATAAACATCCTTCATGAGATAAATGCAAAGCAGGAATGTAAAGTGTAGCTAAAGACCTTGTATTTCTTTTCCTTGCTTGGCTGATAACAAATTGTCAGGACACATATAAAAGAAAAATAACAGGAAAGTGGGAGAGAAAGAATTCTGAATCAGCCACCACGGAAAGCAAGAAACATCTCACCAAAGCTCCTGACCACTGACCACCCTTCTTCAGGCGCATTGCATCATTCAGCCATTCAACATTCACAAACAGTCAAGTGCTTCCGAAATCTCAAATTCTGACAGCTCTTAAGATTACATTTCTTTATGCCCCTGCCAAAGGGCTGCAGAAATGCCATGCTGTTTGGATATGTTCCCAGAAGTCTCCTCCAGCAATTAAAAAAATACGTATCTATATCAGCAGTCTTAATGATTTTTCTGAACTGTACTACAGAGATTGAGAGTTAGACAGTGCCCGGCAAGCCAGTCCTCTGCACCTGTCTACCACCCACGGGGAGCAGAGTGGACACATCCCCTGTGGGTCTCAGCGTTTAAATCCTGCACCCAACCATCTCCACAATAAATGCTGGTTTAGATCAAGGGTTTGCTGGGACAGAGGCAGGGTGGTGACCCCAACTCCCCTACATACCCAACCCCAGCTCTCGCATGTGTTTAACCCCGTCAACACAAACACGGCAGCCCTCTGCATCACCAGGATGTTACGGCTGACTGTTCCACCAACCCCAGCCGCGACCGGATGCCGAAGACCTGGGCTGACAAGTCGTCTGTCTGGACAAAGACATTTTCAATTTGCAGCACACTAATTTCACATCCGTCTCAGAGCTAGCTTTCCCTTTTGCCTCCAAAGAGAGGCTGTGCTGTATCACAATTCATTCCAGGCCACTAGCAGATGTCTGAAACTCCTGTGCATTATCTTAGGAAAGCCTAACGCTCAATTTCCTTAAAAGACAGGGGAGCAAGTGAGTCACTTTACATACCCTGGCAGTCACATACAAGGCAATGGGTATGTCCAGGAGGAAATAACATCACAAACTGGCAAGGAATGGCTACATCTACCCGTTCGACAAGATTTGGTCCATGCTAAAACCTACTGCTTTGAAGACGAAACGGCAAGCATTCATCTCAAGTATTATTTCTGTACTAACGCACGGACACAAAAGTTGGAAGCCCATCAAATCACAGACAAAATGCTTCCGCATGCAAACGCGCTACAGATGCCTCCTTAGCATTTCTCTACCAAACGCAGAGGTGGCTCAACTCCCTCTGCTCCTCTTCTGGATAATTCTCCACAGGCAGGCAGAGAGCTTTGCGTTGCGCTAGGAAGGCAGGCGAGCACCGGCGGCAGCAAGTGTGCCCACGGGGCACTGGGGGACGACACCGGGGACGACACCGGGGACGACACCGTGGGGGGACCCTCGGGGACAAAGCGTAGCAGGGACGTGGCGCCGATGTTCAGCGAGGGCTCCCACGGTTCCTCCGCGGCACACGGTGCCGGACTGACGACCTTCTCCGCATCACGCCCTAACGAGCACGGAATGACGGCTTCTCTGGGAGGAGAACAGCATCCCTGGAGAGATGGGGATGCCGAGGAGCGCTTCGCCCGCTACCACACCCTGGCCTGGCGAGGGGTCCCCAGCCCAGGGTAAGGGTGCAGGATGAGGCCTCCCCAGCACGGCAGTCCGGCCAGCCCCGGGCTGCGCTGCGGGTCCCTCTGCGACCGCGGCGGGGCCCAGGGACGGAGGAACCGGCGGGGCAGGACCCCCGGGCCCACCCCGGTGCGGGCAGCCCAAGGTCGCCGGGCCGGGCTGCTGCCCCGCAGCCAGCAGGGGGGGAGACGGCCCCCAAACCTCCCTTCCCCCAGGTAACCCCGGCTCCCCTCAGAGCGGCCCCCAAACCCCCACCCCCCCTCAGAAGC